AGTCATGGGAGCCTCTGATTTATAGGCAGTTGGTCAGAAGTACAGGTGACAACCTGGACTTGTGACTGTAATATGAAGTCCAAGAAGTGGGTCATGGAAAACTCCAGTCTGTGGCCACTGGGTTGGTCAGAAGCACAGTAATAGCCCGAGCTCGGAATCTGGTGTCTGAAGGGGAGATGGCACGCTTGTAAGACTGGACACTTAGCTTGGGGGACCTGATGCTCATCTCCAGACAGACAGTGTCAGAACTGAGTTAGGACACCTTGTTAATGTCCAAGAATTGCCTGGTGTTGTGGGAAACACATACGTACATGCACACACATTAGAATTGAGTGCTAGAATCATTTTACTTGTCAGTTAGAATCACCGTGTTTTACATTAGATCCTTCTGTAGCATTGGTTTTAGTTCTTCTTTAAATGTTTGGTGGGATTCTCCAGTAAACCTTTTGGCCTTATGCATTTTTATATTCAGAATTTGAGCTGATCCTTATAACAACCTTGCAAAGAAGGCATCTAACAAACATGGACTAAAGCTCAGAGAAATTAAGTGACTTCCCCAACACCCAGAGGTCTTGTAATCCCAAGTCAGTGTTGTTTCCATGATACCACAGTTCCTGAGTTTTGACATCACTGGGTAGACTTTTCAGGCATTTAGAATCTCTATGGGAAATAAAGAAAGAGAATAATCGTATCTGCTCCTGGCCACGTTTGTTTAGCTGGGTTCCAGTTTCTTTCTTGCCTGACATCCAGTTAAGTTGGAAGATAACAAGGGAACCAGTGAATTGCAGAGAATAAAATCCAGTGCTATTAGTGTGGTCATAAAGGTATGGTCTGAAAGACTGATGCTCGAGTGATGTGGCATTGCCACGGCCAACAGCAAAGCCCCAGAGACAAAGCAAACAAAAATGTCTGAAGAGAGGAGGAAACCCTGCTTTCCAGTGTCCCCAAACATTCTCTGGGAAGTTTTCCTCTAATCCTCATCACTTGACCCAAAACTTCCTCCCAGGAATGACTGTCCCCTTTAATGTAGGATTTTTCACCACCTTCATTATCCCTCCTGTGAGTTTTGCTCCCAGCTCAGAGCATGCTGCTCCTCTATTCAATAGCCTTCAATGATTCCCTATTGTCTAGACTTCTCAACTTTACAGGCATTGTCTATGTATGGCTGCTGTTCGCAAATTTTAGAGAACAGGAGAATCACCTGGAGAAACTAATTTAAAAAGTAGACTGTTAAGTCCCAATCCCAGAGATTTCTACTCAGGAACTCTGGACTGGGACCTAAGAAGTCTGTGTTTTAGCCTCCGCCCTGGTGATTCTAGTGCAAGTGGTCCACAGAATACATGTTGGCCAAACAGTGGAATTAAGGTCACGCTCCTTGGCTTGGCTTCCAGAGCCTCTGAAGCTTGATTCCCCCTTGCTTACACAACAGTACCTCCCCCTCACCCCATGACTCTCCTACCAGACCCCCTACCGCCCAACCACAGTGCTTAAGACTAAACCAGTTGGTGAACCTACTTTATGTTGTGCAGTTTCTGGGTATTTGCAGAATCTTCTCACTCTTCTTGGAAAGACAAAATTCCCTCTCCTGTCCCTCTTCCCCCTTGCCCTTTGTATCAGCAGAGTTGTTCAAACTATAGGTTGACACACATTAATAGGTTGTAACCAGCTATTTATTTAAATTTATGATTACTAGAATGGGATACACTAGGAGATATTGTAATATTTGTTTCAGTTAATTATATGTATAGGTACATATGTATGTATTGTATCAGGATATAAGATGTTTTTCTTACTGTGATTTGTAGTAAAACCCCACCACTAGCAACAGCACTGACAGCCACAGCCGCAGCGCTCACCCAGTTTGCCTCTAATTAGAGCCATCAGGATAGCCTTCTGTTTCTCCATTACTGTGAACCTTTGGAGAATAATAAATAAAGCCGTCTTTACCGCCTCATCCCTCTGGCACCCGTCGTGGTATTTTGTGCGCAATAAATGTTAACTAAATTGAATTGATTGCATGATCACAATCATGGCTCCTCTGGGTTTAACTCTTTCAGATCAAGTATCCTTTTTCAGGCTGTGGGGTTGGGGCTCTGCCTTTCAGACATTGCTTCTTTGTGAGACAATGAAATTTGGAGCATTGCCAGGGGAAGTGGCCTCCCATCTTGGATAAAGAAGAAAAGGGTAACATTTCGCAAGGCAATGATGTTGCTTGGTGCAACAAATTTCCCATGGAAATTCCAGAGCATCTGAGGAATGGAGTGGGTGGCTCTCTGGACCAACATGGCGCAGTGGAAGGAAACTCCACAGGAAGGTGGCTACGTGAGCTTCTAGGTATGAGCATTGGTTGAGCATGTATTGCTCAATAAGCAAGCCACTGTGCTGAGTGAGTAAGAGCTCAAGAAGTCTTTGGCATGGGTGACAAGCTGAACTGCTTGTGGACGGCAAGTGTGTTTTCTTAAGTCTGCAGTGTGTCAAGTGGCAATGTAACAGGTCAGGGTTGTTTGAATGTAAATCATCTTATATTCAACCTGCTTCTCATATGTGTGTTAACTGTACATCTCATTGATCTGTCAGCTTGGGACCTCTTATCTACAGCAAAGTCCCTGGCTTTGAAGAATTCAGTAAAGAAGAGGAGGGAAGGCATGAACTTGCAGAAACAATTTCCAGACCAGGTCCCTTGAACAGGATGCACAGGTAGCAGTAGGTCAGTAAGCCCAGCAGAGAGCAGGCATGCTGGATGTGGGGAAGAGCTGAACTTCCAATGAAAAGCTTGGGTAAGTGGAGAGCAGAGAGACGGCACTTTTTGTAAGACGGGGAGAAGAAGGAAGGTCTGACTTATTGCAGTAGAGGATCCATGACAGCCAAGGGCCGAACGGAAATGATCCTGAGGAAGACTGGGGTATAAAAGGGCTAAGGGAAGAAAAGGGGGGCTATGGAATTTATTCAGATATCAAAAAGGTTTTAGTTACAAGGCCTTCAATTTATCATTGGCTTCAAAATAAGACCTGGAAACAAGTAATATCACTCCTTTAAAAAGCAAAGAAGACACATTTGTTAGAATGGTTTAAATTAAAAAAAAAATGATGATATCAAATGCTGGTCGGAATGTGGAGCAACAGGAACTCTCATTCATGGCTGGCGGGAATGCAAAGCGGTACAGCCACTTTGGGAGACAGTTTGGCGGTTTCTTACAAAACCAAGCATACTCTTATCATGTGTCCCAGCAATCACACCCCTAGATATTTACCTGGGTTGAAACTTTATGTCCATGCAAAAACCTGCACAAGAATGTTTTAGCAGCTTTATTCATAATCAGGGAAAACTGGAAGCAACAAAGATGTCCTTCCATCAATGAAAAAATAAATTGGTACATATAGGCAATGGGATATTATTCAGCAATAAAAAGAAATGAGTTTTCAGGCCAGGAAAAGACATGGAGGAACCTTAAATACGAAGTGCTAAGTGGAAGAAGCCAGTCTGAAGAGGCTACGTCGTGCATGATTCTACCTATCTGGCCTTTTGGAAAAGGCAAAACTATAGAAATAGTAAAAAGATCAGTGGTTACCAGCGGTTGGAGAGGTGAATAGGTGGAACACAGTGGATTGTGAGGGTGGAGAAATTATTCTTTATGAAACTGTAGTGTGGACACATGCCATTACCCGTCAAAATCCACAGAACTGTACAACACAAAGGGTGAGTCTTGGGGAGGGCATAGCTCAAGCGGTAGAGTGCATGCTTAGCACGTAGGAGATCCTGGGTTCAGTCCCCAGTACCTCCTCTAAAAATGAATAAACCCAATTACCTCCCTCCTCCGCCTACAAAAATAAGAACAATTAAGTACAACAATAATAAACAAAGGGTGAATCTTCATGTAAACTATGGCTTATAGTTAATAATAATGTGTCAATGCGGGCCCAACAAACATAGCTAACATACCACAACAATGCAAGATAGTTATAATGGGGGACTGGGGGTCGGGGAGGTCAGAGGGTGGGGGACTCAGTACACAGAACTCTATGTACTATCTGCTCAATTATTCTGTGGATCTAAAACTGTGCTAAAAATAATTTATTACTTAAAAAGAAATCTCTTGAGATTTCACATTGAAAGAAACAAAGGGGCAAGTGTGAAGAGAATTATTTCTAAGTTTTAAGAAAGCCGAAAGGTAATCCTGGAGTCTTGCTTGTTAACTCTACAGCCAGTTTTGCTGGTACCCAAGCCCCCGTTTCCTTACGGAATCCCTCACCTAAACAGTAAGTCCACACTGCACTCCCTCCACTGTACAATCTCAGGCCCTTTTGGATTTATCCAATGAGTGATTGGAAGTAAGACAGAACCAAACTTTTCATCCCTTCCTAGTTCGCTGAATTTTCTCACGAGAAGGAAATAGGGCTTGTCTGGTAAATTTGAAAAAGCAACATCACAGATTTTTTTTCAGCAGAAAAAAAAAAAAGGCTTTTCTCTGGATGAACTTTTCTCAACCAACTGTAATGATGGTTTTTTTGGTCTGATTGTTAATTCTCCCTAATTATGTACAAGGCCCTTTAAATTTATGTTGGTGGTTTTTCTCTTTCGAGCAACTAGATTAAGCAATCAGCCCACCTTTCATATTATAAGAAGGCTTCTTCCTTCTTTCTTTTTCAAAAATTACTCCTCCACTTTGCAATTTCTGCAAGTGCTCATAGGGGTAAATGCAATCTGCTGCTCTCTTGGCTTTGAGTGATGTGCTTATTTTAAATCTCTCTAAGCTTGTCCAGCAGAGGACTTTTAAACCTGGATTAATCCCCTTGAGTTCTAAATCCTTTTGCTTTGAGGGCTGAGATCTGCTTCCATAACCTTCTGAATCACCAACGTTTGCTTTGAAAGTTGGCACCTTCTATTCAAATGGCAAGAAAGATGGGAAATAAGCCTTACAGAGCTGAACGTATTGATTTCAATTATCACCTTTAATCCACACCTTTCCTCTTTATCATGTGCGGTTTTCTTCTCTTCGTTAGAAAGAGCCAGGGATTATCTGCACAAAACTGGAAGGTTTATCGTCATTGGCGGGATTGTCTCTCCGGTCCACGACTCCTATGGAAAACAGGTGGGTCCGCCTTTGCCCCTCTCTTCCCTAGCCCCTCTTCTGGACCTGAAGGCTCCTCTGGTATAAAACGGCCCCACTGCCATCTCTGCTGCGATTCCGGGAACACAAAATACCCAACGGCAGGTGTCCCACGTCCCATCTCTGGACCATAGTCAGGCCTGAGCGAGGGGGCGTTGGGCAGCAGCTCGGAGGAACAGTCAGAACGCACCCAAAGAGGAGGAGGCACACCTGCTGAGGGCCAAGGGTGGCTTGGCACGGACACCAGGTTGACGGCTGGTTAAGGGCTGGGCAAGTCTTTCCCAGCATTATAGGAGAAAAAGGCCTGTGGCTCTTATTAGCTGATTAAAAATTCATTTCCCTGCTCCTCCCTCCCTGCCACACATCTCAGAAAATCTAGACTCTCTCCCAGGCCTTCACTTCCTCCCCCAGATACAACTTGGTGAGCCCCGGGGATGTCACCCAGCCAGACTGAGCCATGAGACAAGACAGCACCCACCATGCTGTCTCGTCTCTGTGCTGGGCGCACGTCGGCTGGTGGGGCAGTTGACCGTCTGATGCTCATCTGATGCTGTTGGAGGGGGTCTACTCCATCTCCCATCCGTTCCTTTCCTTCCCTTCTGCCACTCCGTGCCTGTGTGTGGCAGATGGACGCATACGGGGGTCACACCCCGTTCTCTGTCACCACCGAAAAACGCTGCACTTTTATAATGGGCTGGCTTGGGACGGAGCGTTGGGGAGGCTGCGGGGAGCAGGGCGAGCCTCCCAGCAATTGCTCTGTTGCTTCCCAGGGCCTCGTGTCGAGCCGGCACCGTCTCATCATGTGTCAGCTGGCCGTCCAGAACTCCGATTGGATCAGGTAGGGCTGGCCTGTTGATGCTGGAGGTGGGGGTGGCCCTGGGACTCCCTGGAGATGCGTGGAGAAGAGGAAGAGTCCTCACGGCAATTTGGACCCCATGGGGTTGGGGAGGCGGTGGGGGGGCAGATATTAACCCCATGCAGGTGATAATTATGTGAACATTCCAGGGGGGTCCAACTGATGACTTTATTTTTTAACCAAGCCACGAGGCCCATGAAACTGAGAGGGAGCTTTCGTGTTTCATCTGCCTTGTCCCCTTTGGATCCAGGAGTCTGCTCAGAGCCCCCAAAAGCATCACTGGGTTTGGGGTGAGGCAGGGCCAGAAAATCCAAAATGCCTCTCCAATTCTATACCCACTTGCTTCCAGGAGCTCTCACGACCTTTCAGGGAATGTCCCCGGCCTTGGCTCTTTCCCATTCCTGAACTCAGGCTCCCCTGGGCTCTGGGCTGACGGTGGGCCAGGGGTGCGGGTGGTGTGCACTCACTCACTGCCTCTCCATCCGACGCGCCCCGCGCAGTCCCCTCGCAGTCCCCTCGCTAAGACAGCAGACGCTGTTATCCGCTGAGCTTGCGCTGTAATTAAAGCAGGCTTCCACTAATTATGCTAATTATGCTCCCCAAAGCTCCTGCAGTTATAATTTGCATGAGAAGATGGTGTTTTTTAAAAAAGTAATGGCACACCATTTGTCCTGGCATCTCCCTACCATGGAAGAAAAAAAATCACCTAGAAGTTTCCATGAAAGGAGGGAAATGAAGGGGCTCAGAGCGAGGGCTCAGAGCTATCAGAGAGGGAAGGGGTGGGCGGAAATGAGAGTAGTGGAGGAAGGCGACGGTAATAATTAAATCTTGATCCTTGCCATTTGCGTGCAGTGGTTTGTGTGAGCAGCACGTGCCCTGTGCGGACTTTCTCATCCCCGCCTGCGAGAGCGGTTAGGTGGAGAGACAGCTCAGGAGAGATCAAGGACCTTGAACGTGAACAGCACATCCGTGGTCGAGTCAGGGTGGAGATGAAGCTTCTCAACCCCGTACCTCGTGATCTCCTGGGGAAAGTGGGGCCCAGTGGGGAAAATACTGGGCAGGAAGCTGTTCCTGCTTGTGTGTGATTAGAATATTCTGAAACAATCCCTCATTCATTCAACAAATATCTACTGAGCACTTACTGCCTGTCCCACACTGCTCCAGGCACTGGGAAAATTAGAATTCCGAGAACTGAGGTCACTAAGAAGGTTTGGAGCTAGCTCTGGAGATGAGGGCTGGGTGTGCAGGGCCCCTGGACACAGGGGAGTCTGTTTAGCCAGGTCAGGCGTCTGCCTATCTCAGGGGGGAGGGTGATCAGAGATCTGGGGGGGAGCCAGGCTCAGGGAAACTGGTTCTCTAAGGGTTTTCATTTCGTGAGACCTCATCTTCGGTGTGCTTAGGTGCGCTGCATGGTGGGAGGTGGGCAGGGAATGCTCAACTGCTAAGAACATGTTTGAGAAACATCCCAGTTTAGCAGCTCATTAAGTTGGCGATTAAACCCGAGTGCTGCATCCGTCTGGGGCTGGGTCCCCGCTCACTTCGTGTCCTTTGTACGGCGGGGCGGGGGTGCAGCCTGCTGAGCCGTGCCTTCCGGTCCAGGCGCCACGCCCACCTCCATGCCCATAGAGCACCTCCCTGCACAGGGAGGCAGCCACAGGCAGGGTCCCCATTTGAGGTAACTGCAGTCACCACTTGATGAGGGCCTGGCTCACTTAATCCTTTTTGCAATCCTATAAGGTCCAGAGGAGAATTCCCATTCTGCAGCTAAGAATGAGAGTACGACATATACTAGGCACTTTGCATATGAAACTCATGGAACCCTTCTAATAGCCCCACAAGAGAGGTATTATTGTTGTTCCCATTTTACAGATGGGGAAAGTGAGCACCAAGCATCATATAACTTTCCCAGAGCCCCACAGTTCTGGTGCTGGTATTAAACCTGGCCAGACCAGCGCCAGCATCTGCTCATGGAAGCCGGTGTCATACTCCTCTCATTTTACAGAAGGGAATCGGAGGCTCAGGAAGGTGTTCCAAGCCCATGTTTTATCTGATTTGAGATCTAAGTACACAGCACGACTAGGTCTGCGAGCTTTCTGAGCTATGTGTTTGGAAGGAACCAATAAGGAAAGAGTGTGAGAATGGAAACCAAGGGGGACGTCTTTCTGATTGTTAGGGTGGACCCGTGGGAGTGCTATCAGGACACCTGGCAGACAACCTGCAGCGTACTCGAGCACCATCGGGACCTCATGAAGGTGAGCTGGGCTGGGCTCAGGGCTGGGTGGACCACAGAAGCCGGGCCGGCTGCGGGAAGGATGCTGCTGGCCCATGGTCTCCTGCTTCTCAGCCAGCGGTGGGGGAGACCAGGGTCCGAGCAACACCAGCTACTGCTCCCTGCCTCGTCCCCACCCTGGATACGACTTAGGGCAGTTTTCATCTTCTGGCAGCAAGTTCAAGGTAGGATTAAGGAGACCACAGTTGGAAAACTTCAGAAAGTGAGGCGAGAAGGAGGAGTGGGCAAAGAAAGTCAAGCGGAGAGAGGCGCTCTGGGAGCAAGTACCAGCAGCCAGGTCCTCCTGCCGCACCTCTCGGGGACCCGTGGGTCCTCTTACTCCAGGACAGGATGCTGTGACTGTGGGCCCTCACACCCGCCAGGCATCGTACCATCATGCACACGCATTCCTCCTACAAGGGTCCACGGGTAGACAGTGTTCTGACCTTTGCTTTATTTGTGGGTAAAACGAAACACAGAGAGGTGAACCAGGGTATCTGAGGCTTCGGCCAGGCACAGTGACTGAGGAGCTGGTTGTTAGTTAAGCGCAGCTTCTGTACCGGCCAGCAGCACCGGCCAGAGTGTGCAGAAAGCACCCCTGGCAGGTCAGCACCAGCCCGGGACTCTCACAGTGATGGGATGAAAAGCGGTGCCATCGACAGCAAGAAGTCCGCCCCGCCAAGACAAGACGCGGTCCATCCCGCTCCCCTGCCCTGACGCGGGGCCCTGCCCAGCCCTCAACAGCAGTCAGGAGGGCGTCGTCCTGACACAGGGCGCCTCGGTCGCATCTGCGTTTGCCGTCAGGGGGCCTGTCACAATCTTCTCCTTGGGTGGCTGTCAGCAGCCCAGTGACCCCACACGCCACCAGCTGTGCACAGTGCTTTGCTTTAACAGATGGGGGACTCGGAGGATCCAGACCATCCAGGGAGTCAAAGAGCAAGAGCGGTAGGAAGGACTTGCTGGCTATGGCTTCATCTCTTAAGATCCACACCCATGGAATTGAAGAAAACTTGGCTCCTGTCTTTCTGTTCTCAGAACCCTTCACACACATCCAGAGTCTTTCCTGGTGCCCCTGAAAGGGCTGTGACCTAGGGTGGCATTGACTTGCTCCTCTGGGCTGGTCTCAACAACAGGAGTCATCAGAGACGTCCCGTCTTATCCGCTCAGGATGTGTCCATCAGGATAGGCTAGATATGCGAACATCCTTCAAATCTCAGTGGCTTCACACACGTTTATTTCTCACGCTATGTGTCAGCTGGGGGTGCTGCTGGGGGCGCTGCTGGGGGCCTGTGCTCCTCCTGTTCATCCAGAAGCCTCCAGGCCCACGATGGGAGGGAGGAATCGGGGCACTGCAGGGGTGCCTGGGCCCTGGGTGTACCAGCCAGAAAACCTCACTACTGTTTTGATGTCTAAATGTCTGGGCTTCCTGAACCTCCCTCTGTTACTCGTGCCCAGAGGCATGAGTCTGGGCCAGGGGTGCCTGGCCAGGAGCCCCTGCTGTTGCAGTGATAGTCTCGGGCCAGCAGAGAAGGTCAGTCATGACGGCCCCCTGCCTTGGGGCGGGAGCTGGGAGCCGCTTGTAACGCCCAGTCTCCCAGTCCCAGCATCAGGCCAGTGTTTCCGGCATGACGAGGAGACCTGTCGGAGAGACAGACACAGGGCGTAATGAGCGATGCAAGGCTGCGAGGACAGGGGAGCCCGTGGAGGGCAGGCGGGGCACGTGGCCAGCATTTTCTTCTCCGGCGTAGAAGTCAAATGGGATCAGCGATGCGCGCAGCTGGAGGAAGGAATTCCTCAGCTACCTGACCAGTTATTTGATGAGAAAGTGGCGTTTTCTCTTCTGGAGGTGAAGTAATAATAAGAAGGAGGCAGGCTGTCCCTTCCGCTCCACCAGCTGCTGCCGGGCAGAGAAGCCCGTGAAGCAGGCTGAGAAGCCCCATGGCCCCCGACCTCAGCTGGCTTCCAGATGTGGCTGGATGCTGTCATGACCGTCTCCTGTCAGGAACCTGTCAGAGGTGACAGGTCACCCCGCTAGACAAATGCCTGCCCTTCCAGGGCTCGGAAGGACTCATGTGCTGATCTGCCGGCAGGGTGGTGTGTGGAAGGTGCCTTTGGAGGGTGACCCCGGCCCTGGGACTTGGGGGGTCCTCCGGCAGCGGGACTCGGTCATGCAGAAAGGGTGGTGGACCAGGGATGGGGGAGGCTGCCTGTCAGGGACGGGACCTTGAATGAGCAGCAGCCCTGTGAAAACTGATCCTTTGTTTCCCTGTTGCCCAATAGCTGCTGCCCCACTCACCGCGGGCAAGGGGGGGTCAGCTGTGAAGAATGCTGCGCTGTCAGCTCTGTGTTTGCCGTGGCACTGGGGAGAAGCAGCCAGCCAGATAACACAGGACAATGGATAATGCACAGAGAATTTCCGCTTGGCTCTGGAATGTGTATTCACACTGTGAGCAGGCGCAAGAGGGCCCCGAGCCCCACCCCCCTTCCTGCAGCGCAGACACATCCTGCTCTGCCTGGCACGGCTCCCCGGCCGGGCCTGCCATTGGCATCTCTGGCTTGGAGAGGCGGCAGGTGGTGATAGCGCTGGGTGTTTGCACGACCTTTCCCAAGCTTGCGCGGCCCTTTTGCAGACATGACCTCGTTTGAGCCACACAAAGCAGGCAGGCAGGGCAGGTACGCGTGTTCCACAGAAGGTCACAACATCCAGGTGGGGTACAAAGTTCCTGCCACGTGCCAGACGCTCTAAAGGCGCTTCGCGTCTGCTCGCTCGTGCCATCCTGCCACAACCCAGAACGGCAGCTCTGTTTCCTCTCTGTGTTACGCTCTTGAATTGAAGTTCATGAGCAGTTTAGTAAATAGCTAAGGTCATGCAGCCTGAAGAGGGCGGGGCTCACCCTTGAACCCAGGTCTGTGCGGTAACACATCCCGTGCTGCTCCCACTGAGCTGTCTTGCCTCCTGCCAGCCTTGTGGTCCCAGGGTGTGGCCAGGTCTAGAATTCACCCCCAGTCCTCTTTCTGGGACACCTCACCATCGTGGCCAAGCAGATGAGTATTTGGAGATACCTGGGAAATGCTTCCGTAAGTCATTCAGCTGACGACACTGACTCTGCCCTTCCTCCTTCCCCAGCGGGTAACTGGCTGCATCCTCTCCAACGTCAACACACCCTCCATGACGCCCGTGACCGGACAGCCCCAGAACGAGACCACCCAGCCCGTTTATCAGAACAGCAATGTGCCCACCAAGCCCACCGCAGGTAGGGGAGCACGGGCGCAGAGCTGCGGTTCTCTAACTTCAGGATCTCCTGGAGGGCCTGCGGAAGCCCGGATGGCCAAGCAGCGCCCCAGAATTTGATTCCGAAGGTCTGGGAGAAGGAGGAGAATTTGCACTTTTAAAAAGGCAATGCTGATGCTCTGGTCCAGGGACCATACTTAGAGAACTCTTAATACAGAACATCAGCAAGAAGCAGTCACAAAGAGAGACAGGGACAGAGGCAGAGAGACAGGGGTGCATTTTAATATAAATATGATTGCTTTACTTGGGAGTTAAAGATACAAAAAGGAGTGCTTTTCTCTGGCTCGTCCAAGGAGGGCGAGGATCTCGCCCAAGGTCACATGGTCAAGAAGTAGCAGGGCCAGGAGTCAAACCCCAGCGGTCTGCACCCTGAGTCCCACACTCTTAGCCATCCCTTCCGCGACAAAGAGCAAGGGCCCCCGCCGACATTTACTCAGCACTTTAGTGCGATATGTTTGCCCGGGGCTCGGTGCTTTACAGGGGGGCTCAGTGCCTTGCACGGGTTTTCGTTTAATGCAGTAATTCTGTGATACAGATAGTGTGTTCCCATTACAAAGAGAAAGCCGAGCTTCAGAGAAGGTAAGCGATTTGCCTAAGGTCACCCAGCTCAGAAGTAAAAGAGCCAGAATTCATACGCAGGACTGTGTGATTCTAAGGTCCATGTGCTTCCTAATATTGTCTTCCAGGCCAATTGCAAGAGACAGGTCCTGATGTTAACTTTTCAAGCTAGAGACCATAAGCCAGTTAGTTATCGGTCTGCTAGAAATAGGGAAAGTCACAAGGAAGAGCCAGAATTCCATAGTTTGCGTACAGCCACCTGTGGGGAGCTCAGAAACATTTTCCAGATTGGAGCCCAAAGAGATCACTGAAACACCAGATCCCTCTCAGCCAAAGTAGGCTATCTGATTAAAAGACCGTCCGCATAAGAAGGAAAGCCTTCACCCAGCAGAAATTATTCCAAGCAAGTTCTTTGCCGCTGGCCCGGTCTCCGCGGATTTGAGTGTAATTGTTTAGCGTTGGGAGTGGCCGAGGACACGCTCACGATGTTAAAAAACGAAAAATGCTAACAGCGCACGTGTCCTTTATTTTTTATATTTTTCTTCAAGTTTTATTGAGATACAGTTGACATATTGCACTGTGTAAGTTTAAGGTGTAGAGCATAATGATTTCCCTTACATACATCAAGAAATGATGGCCATAGTTCGCATCCATCCTCTCATACAGGTGCAAAATCAAAGAAAGAAAAAAGTGTGTTCCATGTGCCCTTTAAATGCAGAAGATGCTCCAGTGCACGTTACAGACATATCTGCGAAACACACATAAGAAAAGTGGGAGAGAATAGGCAATATGCAGGTACCTCAGTGGTGGCTTTCTCTAGCAGTGGAATTGCGGATGCTTTTAATTTTCCTTTTTATATATATTCGTCTCTTATATTTTCCAACTTTTCAACGGTGTAATAAACATGGCCAGAAAGTAGATTCCTGTCTAGGGCTCAAGATGCCTTGGGCTGTGAATGAGAAGAGGCAATTCTGGCTGTCATGTTTCTGTTCTTTCTCTCCACCCTCCTTCTGCCTCCCACGACCAGGCCCCACCCCTCCGGAGCAGCCCCTTTGTTCACAGTGGCCCCAGCCCCAGGCTGACATGAGTGTGAATTGTGAGTGGTTCTCTCCCTCTGTCCCTGTGTGTCTTGCTCTCTCCCACAGCCAAGATCTTGGGAAAGGTGGGGCAAAGCCTGAGCCGGATCTGCTGTGTCCGCCCGCCCGTGGAGCGCTTCACCTTTGTGGGTAAGGGGGCAAGGACCTTCTTTACCCATCCCGCCTCTTCTCTTTCCCTCCTCCCTTCACTGTTCAGCAGACACGCCTGGCACCTGCTGTGGGTTTGGACATTTATAGAGCAGTGAGTGGGAGAGCAGAGGATGTCACCAGGCCCACGGGGCCAAGTTGTTATGGGGGCCCAGAGGGATGATCCCCCTGGCGTGGACCCCCTGGAGACCTCCCGTGCCATCAGCCCCTCCTCGGGCTGTGCTCCGTGCTCCCCTCAGCCCCCCACAGAGTGTGTGCGCACGCCTGAGAGCTCCCAGGGGCCCGGAATCCTCCCACCTCTGGCACTGTCAGTGCTCCTGCTGAGGGGCTAAGAACACATCGGCCCTTTCCTTAATTCTCTCTTGTTTTTTTGGCTGCTCCCCTAAGGATGAGAATATCTGATTTGGGGGATCTTTCTCCCACAAACCCAAAATTCGCCTGTGCAGGAGAGCTGGTCAAGCCCTCATTCCTTTGACTGTTTGGGGCTGATTCCTGAGATTTCCAATTTCAGACACCTTGGAAAGGTACTAAGAGGGGTGGTGGAGGAGGAAGGGAGCCAGGGGGCCAAGCCAGCATCCCCGCGGTGCCGTGCACACTCAAGGCACACAGCAAAGCCTTTAGCGTCTTCCCCGAGCTCTGCATTCTGCCCCGTGGAAAAGCCCAGCGTGCTCAGTTCGGCTTGTTCTTTGAACCAGGTAACCCCGAACAAGAGAGGGCCACCTTCTTGTGACCTGGAAAGCTGTCTCCCTGGGTCTTGAGGATGCTGCTCTTGTGGCCAGCCTCCTCCAATACAGAAAGACACAGAAGGCGCCCAGCATGAGCGTGTGTGTGTCCCTGGTTGGCTCCCCAGCCAGGCTGTCTCATTCTGAAAGTCCCAGAAAAGTGAATCCTGCCCCTAGAGCCCAAGGAGATGCTCCCTGTCCATTGTAGGCTGGACCCTGCTCTGCATTCATTCAAATGTTCCTACTCCCACCCACCCCACCACCCATCCCATCCTGAGTTTTCTCTCTGAGAAGACTCTCGGGCAGAATGCCCATCAGGTACCAGGAGGTTCGTTCCCTGATATTCCTGCGTTTCTTCTTTCCTCCCTAGATGAGAACGCCAACCTGGGCACGGTGATGCGATACGAGGAGATTGGTGAGTGGGGCTGGGAAGGTGGGCTCCTTTGGAGCCACCTGCTTCCTCCACAGACATAGTCGGGGGGGAGAGGCTTGAAAACCCTGGGTGGGGGTTGTCGCAGGGTCTTAGCAAAGCTCTTCAAAGGATGAGTGGCTGTTCCCAAGCTAAGGTCACATTTGTAGTTATCTCCCCTTTAACATCACCTCCCTGGATCCAGGCAGGCTCCCAGGGGCAGGGCTGGGTCAGTTGGCAAGTTTCCCTTTGGAGCCTCTTCTCCCTCACCCGAAAGACAGGAAAGTTGAGTTTAGTGCCGGCCAGAGAGACTCTTCTTTTGTCCAGACACTGTGCCTGAGGCAGAAGGGCCCCCCCCCCCCGCCTTCCTCACCAGAGGGCTGGTTCCAGGGCAGCCTGGGCTGGAGACTAACACCTGGACCGTGTGTGTGAGGGCCGTGAAGGCTGGGGCCAGAGCAGGAGGAGGCGGATTACCCGGAGCTGTCAGGACGGGAAGGAGCTGACCCCCATGGAAGACAGAGGCAAACCAGGAAACAGATCTTTCCAAGGTTCCAGAGTAGGTTAGAGACACCAGTGTCTGAAGCTGGGGAAAGGGCAGACAGACAAGACTGGAGCTGGAGCTGATGCAGGTAGCCGTTGACAAGGGGGGTCAGTGACAACGGGAATGCTTGCATTTCTTCGATGAGGGGCAGCCTGAGGTCCAGCAGACATGCTCAGTCTTCAACTTCCAGCTGCAAAGACACTCCAGGACCCCCTCGTGGATCCTCTGTCCCGGGGTGAAGGTGTGGGGCTGCACCTGGGCACCGGGCTCTCCCGGGGGAACTGGCAGGCGTGACGGCACTTCAGGGGCTTCCCTGGGTCTCGTCCTCTGATCCCAGGTGCACCTGAGTTGGCTCATACTGGTTTGCTAGAACCATCTGTAAAATTTTGGGAAATTTTACCAACCAGTTGTTAAATGCAGCCAATACTAAAACTACTAAAAAAATTAAATTAAATTAAATTAAGTAGCAATTAAATATATTGCATTAAAACCAAAGGTAATAAGTACTCAAAACTCCTCACTTCCTAATTCTTTTATTAAGTTTTCATAGCCTTTATTTACCAGGACATTGCTGTCTGAGGGCCACAGGAAAGGGCGCTTGCCTTTCTGGTTGTTCCCCAAAGCAGGCAGGAGCGTTTGACTCCAGGTTCCCCAACACCCAAGAGCCCTGCCCTCCCGCTTCCCTGCGGCTCCACCCCTGGCCAAGAACTGCCTTCCCAGGAGAAGTCTTTCCTGACCAGCAGAGCGGTCTTCAGACTTTCAGCTGTATTCCAGTGTGTATTTTTCTCCAACCCCTTGTTCCAGAAAGAATGTATTGTGGCCAAGCTTCAACTGGGACCTCGGCTACCGTCCCAGCGCCCAGGGCCAGTGTATCAGGCTGTCCCGCCCCGGGGAGCTCCCCTCCTACAGGGAGGCCGTGTGACAGGTGCTTGCCTGGCCACACTCCCTGTGCCCCCCCACCCCACGGCCTCTTCCTCTGCGGCCTTGTGAGGGGCAGGCCTAGCCCCAGCCCCCTCTTGCTTACCCCTCTTTCAGAGAGTGGACGGCTGGGTGGCCACAGCTGTCTGGATGGACTCGTGGCCTGGGGACGGGGGGTGCAGGTGGCGGCTGCCTTGCGTGCCGTGGGAGCTGGGAAGGGCCGTGGGGCCTGGGGCTTCACACACCCAGGATTCCTGGGAGGAGCGTGTGACAGGAGGCCACAGTTCTGGCTCCAGGTCCTGGGTTCTGAACTGGGGAAGGAGGTGGGACCCAGCGGAGGTGGGAGGGAGCTGCCCAGCCTCCAGACCACGGTGCTGGGAGGCCCTCTGGCTCACCCGGCCCCTGTTGAAATCCGCTTGCACACTTCACAAGAAGGAAAAGCCACTTCTCCCAGCTCAGTTAGCATCCGCGACTCCACTTCCACGTCCTTAACGGGCTGACCGCTCCGGGGCCTGCCCCCGACCCAGGGCTCGCGGGCTGGGTTTCAGCTCCTTAGTCTCATACTGCAAGCCGGAGAAAGCACTGCTGCCCTCCAGCGGCCACACGTGGGATCAAGCCCTACTAGGGCCTCCGGTCTGTGACAAATTCCTCTGTTTCAGTCCTGCAAGCAAAGGTGGAAACCCCACTCTGACTTGCTCTGCTTTGGCTTTAAAAATAACCCTGCATTTTACTCAAGTGGGAAAGTGAGGCTCCGGCTTGGGAATAAGAGATTCATTTCCAGGGCTGTCGAGCACAGTTTCTCAGCCACGGCACTGCTGACACCGGGAACGGGATAGCCCTTTGCTGCCGGGGCGGCCGTGAGCGGCGTGGGCAGCACCCCTGCCCTCCCAGCGCTAGGTGCCAGCAGCGCACCCTCCCTCCAGCTGTGACAACCGAAAATCTCGCCGGACATCGCCAAATTCTAGAGACAGAATTGCCTCCGTTGAGAACCACTGATGTAGGAAAAGCTGAGGGCACACCCTCTGGACACAGCCACCTAACTGAACTCTTAGGCACATGGCTATAAAGCTTCAACCTTTCAGCAGAAAACTGACCTGGAACTCTGGGTGGTTCCGAGTAGGGGGCAGGGAACAACAGGATCCCAGAGTAAGCCCGGTCCAGCTCCTCTCAGCCATCCCAAGGCTGGTTCACCTCTGCAGGTGGCCTGACACGGAGCGAGGCAGATGCCACTGACCGGGGTGGGCAGTCCCCCAGGGTCTTCCTGCTGCAAGAGCAGAGGCTACAGCGTCCATCCCGACTGCCGTCCCAGAGCACCCAGGAGGCTCTTAGACAGCCTGTCTGCATGGCCTCAGTGGTCAGCATGTCTGTTGTTCCCTCATTTAACATGTCCAGAGCAGCTATGATGTGCAGGTCACTCTGCCAGGCCCGGGGGAAATAAAGATCAAATGAGGTCCCTGGGCGTAAACAGATCATTAGACGACAGTGTGATGTGGAGGAGAGGGGAGAGGAGGGGCTGCAGGATATTTAGGAGTTCAGGCCCCAGTGCTCCATGGGGCGCCCCGAGGATGGGCTGCCCAGACCTGGGACAGTGAGATGTTGGCACTGTCTGTCGTCAGCCCGGCAGCCTTCCACTGAGCCTGCCGCAGGGGCAGGCTCGCTGTCTGAAAGTCCTTGTCGGGTCTCAAAGCTAGTCACAGGGTCTGAGTCAGCCTCAGGGCCCAGGGCGGCAGTGGTCTCCGGAAGGTCAGCGGAGGGCTGTCTCACTGTTTCAGGCAAGAGACCCACAGCCACAGCCTCTTGCTGGAAGGGCCTGGGGTGCCTGGGACCCAGACCCACCACGGAGCCACGCCCCAGGTGGAGGTCTCTCCCCCCGTGGCTCCGAGACCCCCAGGATTCTTTTCTCCCCTGTTGCTCGGTTTTCATGCCCGAGTCAGTCTGCTGCCTGTCTTAAACGACAGTGGCCTCGCTGGGATAATTCAGAGTGGGCTTAATGAGGGAAGAAAGACAGCTGGCAAGCAGAGGCGCGCCCGGGAGGCAGGAAGGTGGTGGGGGCAGTCTGGCTTCTCAAGCCCTTTGCCGAGGACAGAGGCCACGTGAAGAGAGGACATCCGATGAGCGGAGCTGCCCCGGGTGCACTCCGTGTCTCCTGCCCCCACTGCGTGGGCACTTGTGACGCAGACCAACCCCGGCTGACGTGCCGCGGCGGGGGAGCTGAGCTCCACTGGCACTTCAGTTTGAAATGGAGCAAGAGAGAGGCCCTCAGACCTTAGACAAAGCACATGGCCGGCTCAGTCTCTGTTTGGGTGGCCAGCCATCCTGGTTTAGCTTGAAAACCTGTCCTGGAAACTCCTCCGTACCAGCCAAGCAGAACAATTAGTCTCTGTCTCTGCTCCATTCTCCCCGAATGGGATTCATCCCGCAGGGATTGAGGGTGGTCTGTAAAGGAGCCTGGTGGCGGGGTGCCCGGAAGAGCTGGGCTCTGGTGCCCCACAGATGGGACCCTTCTGTGTTCACTGGGGGAAGAGGGCTGAGACAAGCATTTCCCAGGCCTCCACTTACTCCCTTGGCAAACTTTGTTCCCCCTCCCCAGAGCTGCGGATCTTGCTGCTGTGCGGCAGTGACCTCCTGGAGTCCTTCTGCATCCCAGGGCTCTGGAACGAGGCAGATGTGAGTAGCAAGGTTATGGCCTGGCGCACAGCTGGCGTGGGGAAGGATGGAGGGGCACTCAGCTCTGGCTTCTGGTCTTCCCTCCCGTCCCCGCCTCCCTGCCCAGCGTGAGCCTCCCATCTCCTGTGAGCTCCCAGGAGGCCAATCCATTCATATCGTGATGGAGGAAAATTCTCACCCACCGCAAGCTTTATCTCCTGCTGTATTTTTGCACTCACTCCCCTTCACGCTTGCTCCCGGGAAGCCCCTGGGAGGAAAGCAATCTGGGTCATAGAACGCCTTCTCCTAGTGGTGCTTGGGGTGGTGTGTGCTGGTGAGGAGGGTGGGGGAGGGAGGCAGTTTTTAAAAGCCGTGGCCCCTTTTGAGATTATTGTGTGTTTTGTTTTCCTGTGATTCTTTTGAAGAGGTTGTAAATATCAGCTTAGAATCCCCTTAACAAGAGAAAAGGGATCAAGAGGGGAGAAGTTAATGGCAAAGGTCAGGAGGAGTCTTCTGGCAACTGACTTGGGATAGAAGGAACCAGGAGGTCAAACCTGTACCCTTTAGAAACTCAGTGGACATCTTTCGTTACCAGCTCTGACTGGGATGGTCCTTAACTGGCTGATTCTTAGGTCACTCACCCTTCAGACATACATTCATTTTTGTTCTTAATTCATTGATTCATTCATCTGACGGCCAAAACCAGTGCCGGCTCCCAAGCCCACAGCCCTGTGAAAGTTGGATTCTCAGGGCGTACATTTCAGACCCAGTACTTTTTCATTACTTGCTGTGTGACCCCCATGCAAATCACTCAACTCCTTTGGGCCTTGGTTGCTTTTTTAAATCTGTAGAAAATTATCTGCAGCATTCTGAGGTTTTAAAGAAATACACAGTGCAGTCCCTGCCCCCAAGTCTTAAGTGGCAAGATGTCTGCATATGAAATTTTTTCATGTACATATATGTCTCTGAAGAGACAGAGCAAGAGAGAAACTTCAGGATCAAACTCAAGATTCCGGTTCGGTTCCAGTGCAGCTCATGACAAAATATATTCTGAGCATCAGTTTTTCCCATCTGTAAAATGGGCATCATAATACTACCTATCACATGGGGTTTGGGGAGAATTAAATGAGATCGTCCACGTGCAGGGCTTAGCCTGACCCCTGACACACAGTGACGGACAGGAAATGTTAGTAAGTGAATTTATCTAAATAGACACATAGGTAAACACATAGATGTTCAAGGTGAAGGGCTTAAGTGCGAACATGCTGTGGGACCACCAGGAGGGGAGGGAGAGTTTCAGGGAAGCAAATTAAACTGTGTCGGCCTTTCGTCTCCACCCCTGAACAATTTCCTGCAGGTGAAATTTTAAACCTCCTTTCGGTCCTGGATTAAGAGGCTTAATTAACTTTTACTTTCCTCTCTACTTCCCAAGTTGCTTTGAAAGTAAAAAGCAAGGCGGGCAAAGTTCTGTACAAGATTTCAGCAAAGC